GACTAGAAAACGCCTGCGGGGGAAAACGGCTATCATATTCGGCATTAGCATGGTCGATTACCTATTGTCCACTAGGTTTCAAGCCAAAAGCGATGGGGCAGTTGGTGGCCTTCCCTCGTTAGACACATAGGAATAGTAAAATACGATGGAGGATTTCAAATCTTCTTTGAATGGGATTACGTTTTGTATTTTTAACCAAACCAGAATCCTCAGACAATATTTGCTAGGGTTCACAGAAGAAAACCTTTGAAAAACGAAGCTATAGCTTCGTTTTCCATTTGAATATAAGATACTGACGTATACGTTTATGACTAAAGTTGTTCAGAAAAGACGCTTTCGTGTGGTTTTAGTGTACAATGCACACTTTTCACACTTACACAGCTAGGAAACAAGATCAGTTGTTATACAATTGCAAAACCGCATTTCATTGAAGGGGATTTGTATGAAACGAATTCTTTTTTATCAGTAAAGAGCCAAGTAAATTCGTTTTATACGTGATAAAATAGTTGTTTAGCTGTTCAGTTTAAATATATTGCGGCTTTGTTAAGATGAAAAATCGTTCCAGAAATAGAGAAAAAGAGATACTATTTTTCAGGATTTTTTACCTGTGAATAATGCAGGACAATCACAGCGAAATCTAAAATTTGGAATATTCACACAGGTTCCCCCGTTGAGACATGGCGCTGATCGACAAGGATCAAATGTTTCGCAATTAAATCCATAATAACCCGTTTGACAAAAACAAAGGTAGGAACCATACGAATTCAAGCATCGTCCGCCATTAGCACAAATACCAGGTATTGTCTGACATTCGTCGATATCACCACACCTTGACAAAAAAAAGAAAAAAATATTATTACAGACTATTTATGAAATAGTATTAAACTTACACGCCCATGATACTAGTAAATCCTACGGGACAATTACATGTGTATGATAAATTTGAATTTGGTACACATGTGCCCAATTGACAAGGATTAGCGTTACAGACATTTAATTGACAACTTATACCGTAATAGCTATAAGGGCACTGACATTGGCACGATATTGGTCCCGTTGTTATTGCTGTTCCACCGATACCACATGAATAGACAGTACACGGATTTGTTTGTATTTCACAATATGTTCCATTATATCCAAGTGGACAAATACAAGCAAATGTTGTTGGTCCTAAAATATGAATAGCACATGTTTTAGTATTATTCGCTTTTCCCCCTCTCAAATAACGAGCCATTGGTAAAAGTACTATATATACATGAAAATATTTCTACCTGTTCTTATGCATGTAGCAGAATTTCGACATAGAGCTAATGAACACGGATCATATATTGTTGTACAATAGGGATTAAGAAATCCCGCGGCACACACGCACGTATAATTAAAATAGATCGGATTTGATATACATTGAGAATATGGCCCCCGACATGGAAAACTCAAACAAGGATCGCAAGCCAATTGACAATTTTGTCCATAAAATGGCCATACACATTGACAAATATAATAGTAGGGTGTTGGTTCAGTGCAAAAGCCTCCATTTTTACATGGGTTACTGCTACAAACATGGATATTCACTTCGCAATTTTGTCCTGAAAACCCATTTGGACATAAACATTGATAAGTTGTCAGACTAAGATCAATACATGTTGCCAAATTTTGACATGGTTGACTGGTACAGGCACGAAAGGAATATTCACATGTTAAACCAGTGTATGTTGGAAGACATTGACATTGTGCTTGAGGAGGATTAGTAGCTATATTAATACATGTGCCATTATTTTGACAGACGATCATTGAACATTGATTAACTAATATTTCACAATTAACGCCAACGTAACCTAAATTAGTAAATAAATAACAGATTGAATGAAGGATATTTTACTACGAAAATGTTAAGTAAGATACGTATAAAATATTACGATACCATAGTGTGTCTAAAATTAGAACATATTAAAGAATAATGTAACCACTGCTCTTTGTAAAAAAATCTGTAACTTACAAAACAAATATTCGTTTTGATATTTGCTCCTATAATAGAAATCAAGATTCATATCGTACAGTCCTGTTTAACCGTTTCGCAGAATACGCTTGAACTTTTTTTCTCTTATACCAAATCTTGATCTATTCCACAATGTTCAAGAGTATTCTGCGAAACGGTTAAACAGGACTGGGCGATATGAATCTTGTTTCTGTTATAGAAGCAAATATCAAAACGAATATTTGTTTTGTAAGCTACAAATTCCTTTTTGTTAGAGAGTATCCTTTTCGAAGTAGAAAGACTATATATACTTCTTGAATAACTTCCGAACACAGATAGTTACAGACTTTTGATTTTAATTAATCGACAGAAAAGCATTAGAGATTGTCTTTTAGCAAGCAAAAATGACTAACATGGAGCATATGCAATCAACTACGCCTAGTGTTACGCAAAATTAGTTTTCAGGATGTTTTCATGTATTATTAAAATATTCTGAACTCACCCAAATTATATCGTAATGGCATGAAAACTTCAGGATATGATTTATTCCGTCCGTTGAACGTGATTATGCAAAACATTGAAAAAACGATTTTTTTTTGCTCAAACGTTTTTTAGGCAAATGTTTTTTTTAATCACTTTTGCGTATGAAAAGACGTCACTAACTCTTTCTGTCGACCAGTGACAACAGCATGTTGTTACATTCTGGTGTACAAGTAAATAATGCATGATTTTGGGAACTAATCTCAAAATGAGACTAATACACGTTCCTCGGAATGATACGACGGCTGGACCGATACACAGAACGTCCATCCTGGACGGATGAAAAAACTGACAGACTGACTCGAAATGGATGTTCTGTGTGCCCATCTTCGACTAGCCTAAGATGCCGTTCGACGATATATTTCACTTATTTGACGACACGCTTTATACTAATACTAAAGAAAATACTAGAAAATTTATCCGGCGTTGCCCGGGTTGAAAGAATTTATATATTTATATTTATCAAGGGAGGTACCCCTATGGGTGAAGATTTTGGGGTCGCACATAGCCTACGGTCTTCCTCCGTACATGCAAAATTTGGTTGCTCTCGGATCAAGCATGTGGATTTGTATAGCATAACAATCAAACAGACAAACAAACACTTTATATTATAGTATAGAATATAGATTGTGTACTATAATGGTCGCTCTACAGCATTTCTTAGATATCTTTTTGAACGAATAAAAGTGACCTTTCTAACAAATAGATGAATATTAATATTGGGTATACCTGTAAGACATGCACATTGATACGAATTAAGGACACCTGGTGGTTGGATACAGACGCCGTTATTAAGACAGGGTCTCTCGAGACAACGGTTAATAATTTCCGTACAGTTTTGCCCCGTGGCACCTGCCAAACAAACACAACGGTAACCGATGGTTCCATCAGTGAAACATTGTCCATAGAGACACGGGTTTTGTAGCTGACATAAATCAATTCTCGTGTCGCAACGAATCCCTGTGTATCCAACAGAACAATTGCAAACATAACGATCTGATAATGATTGACAAGTGCCATAAAGACACGGACATGAGCCACAATAATTATTGAGGAGAAAAGCACATCTTAATCCTTGATAATTTGCTGGGCATGTACAATTAGCAAGGCCGGGGCCCAGATACGTGCATGTACCACGTAGACAATAATTTTGATCACATAAATTAATTGGTGTCTGACATGAAACTCCAGTATAGCCACTACCACACGTACACGAACAATTTAAGTTGTTAGCACTTCGTGATGGAATACCCGCTACACAAGGATATTGAAAACAGGGATCTTGAACAACTTGGCACGTGCTTCCCGTATAAGAAGGTGGACAAAGACATCTTCAAAATAAAAATGTTACAATAGCTCTCCTAAAAAACACAATAATAATAAAGACGTACGTAAACTGATTATTTCCCACAATGCATGTGCCGCCGTTGTTACAGGGATTACTGGCGCAGGTGTTTATTTGTAATTCACAGATCAAACCGGCATATCCTAAAACAACGAAAATTCATAGAGATATTCTACTACACAAGATTAGCTGAAGAGCGTTTCTAAAAGTTTCACGAGTGAAAGTTGAAAATTTTCCATAATCACGTGAATACTTTGGTAAATATTCTATTAGCAACATTATAAACATTGTACTTTACCTTGAGGACAAATACATTGATACGTAAGACCTGATAATAGATTTAAACATGTTGCATTATTCTGGCATGGATTTGATAAGCAGAGTTGAATTTGCGAAGAACAAGTTGTTCCAGTCCAACCTGGCTCACAAATACATTGATAACCAACACCTGTATCGATACAAACACCAAAATTTTCACATGGTACCAAGCGGCTACACGTTGATTCACGTAATTGACAAAAGGGACCACTATAAGATGTTGGACAGGTGCAATTCTATAAAAGTAGTGAAACAAATATTGTGGACTAATTTAGATTTATATAAAACAGCAGTGGAAAACACTAACATGTAGGCCAGGTGCTACATCATTGCAAGTGCCTCCGTTAAGACATGGTGAACTCTGACAAGCTCGTACAACCAGCTCACATGCTGCACCCTGAAATCCATAAGGGCATTGACAAGCATAATTTGTTGCTTGCTGCACGCAGGTCCCATTGTTGTAACAGGGATTTGAAGAACAATACTGAATAGGAGAATCACACCTAGAATAGTATATAATATTCAGAGAGCAAATATTAAATTGAATAATTAATAGAAAATAGTTTGAATTCTATTTAATCTCATGATAAGTAGACAAAACGTCTCTTCATCTATACTACATTCAAAATTAATTTTTAAGTAGCTTCAGGACGAACTGAATAAAATATCTGATGTTAAACGAAACTAACCGTTGTCCTCCATATCCAGGATAACAATTACATTGATATTGAGAATTTAAATTTACACACGTCCCGTAGGTACATGGATTAGTAGAACACCAATTATTTTGTGTTTCACACGCGTTGCCGGTGAATCCAAGCGAACAGGAACAAATAGCATTTGTATAATTCACTCGAATGCATGAACCATTATTCAAACACATAATCGACGAACATGGATTGAACATTATCTCACAATTGTAACCAGAATAGCCTAGAATATAATGAATCACTGAATCATTCTCTTAGTAGGAGTTCACAGAATGTTGCATAATAACGAAGTTTGATCGAAACTAACTCTCATTTTATCATGATTGTAAAAACGAATATGCTGAACTATCGGATAAAATAATGCCATCTAAGTCGATCTATACCTGATGGACATAAACACGTGTACATATTTGCTGCTGGTTGAGTACAAAGTCCAGCATTTTGACACGGTAGTGAAGCGCATTCATCAATATCCAGATCACATCTCAAACCACTTGTACCAGGAATACACGAGCAAACAAAAGTTGTTGGAAATTGTGTACAAGTGCCATTGTTGAAGCAAGGACTAGTGAGACATTGTGAACTACCACCAATTTGACATTGAACACCTGTTTGAAAGATAGTAATAAATTACGAAATCAACGAAGAAAGAATTAAAGCTGCATACCTGAATAACCAGTTGGACATGTGCAATTGAACATGCCTGGTACAGGTTCTGTACATGTACCATTGTTAATGCATGGAGAGCTCATACATTCTGAAATGTCTACGTCACAATTCAATCCTGTATAACCTGGTATGCACTGGCAACGATAATAAACCCCATAGACTGGAATACATGTTCCAAACACGCATGGATTTGAGTTACAAACTTGGATTTGCAATTCACACCTGGGACCTGTACAAAAATGTAGGAAGTAAATATCAGAGAAAAAATTTCCTTCTTCAGTTTCATTTCGAGGAAAGCCACCGTTAAATCTGTTTAAAAAGTTATTATTTTAAACAAACTCGAAGTCTGTTACTTTATTGTTCATTATTTCTCGACATATCGCTCTAATTTCGACGTTTTGTCGCAAAGAAAGGTACTGTTGAGCATGAAAGGAAGAAAAAGAAAAATAATAAATGACAAACCCGTAAAACCAAATAAGCATGCTAAAATAAAAATAGATTGCATTTTTACTGTTGAAAAGCAAATAATAGATGCAATACTAACCACATGAATAACCAGTACCAGTGAATATCACGCAAGTACCATTATTTCTGGAAAGCATAATAAAAACGTGTCCTTAATTATTTGTTTACTGTTGAAAGGAGTATGTCTTTTACTCACAGGCAAGAAGCACTTTGACAAGGTTGTGAAATCAATTGTTCACAATTAATTCCGACATAGTTCGACAAACATTGACACTGATAGCCGTTCACTAGATTGAGACATGTACCGTTGTTCTGGCACGGCGCACTGAGACATGCATTCACGTCCGCCTATAAATGTTTACTTAAATATAAGATCTACCTAAAGCAGATTTGGAGTAAAATTTATTTTTCAATTTTTAATACACCATTGTATAGCCCTTTTCGAGGCGGGCAAGAATATGTGTTCCCTGAATTTTTTTTGAGGCTTCCTTCTGATCGAAAAATCGAAAAACTCGAGGGTAGTGAAAATCCCCATTTTCCGCGTCCTTTTTTTAAAGTTGAATTTTCTGAGTTTCTTTTGAACTTGGAAAATTCAACTACTATATTCTTGTTCAGCTTTGAAAACGGAACTAGAAAATGGTCTGAAAGCCGTTTTAGATCCAAACACCTATCCGCCAAAGACGTGGAAGTAAAACGATCAAAAAACACTACCCGATTTTGCAAACTTTTCACGCGTTTTCCTAGAGATGCTAGAGCAAATATTTTTGCCTGCACTTTTGGTTGCTGAAAAATCATTTTTTCTAAATCAGAGCCGAAAAAGTCGAAATTTTGCCCGTAATTCCCAATTTTCTCGATCATAACTCAACTTTTGAGCAATAAAAATGTCATATTCGGAGTCAGGACCAAAAATTGAGTCGACTCATGTGTATTTCGAAATGTTTAGTTGATTCGCCTTGAAAAGGGCCTTCCGATGCTGTATTAAAAATTGAAAAACAAATTTCACTTCAAGTGGGTATTAGGTGCATCTTAAGGTGTCTTTAATTCGAAATTCTCGTATCAATATTTTTTCATTTATTTACGCATGGTTGGATAGAGCTCGACGAGGTGATTAAGAGAAAGTATTGTTTAAGTTTTGGAAAAAAACTTTATGGTGAAAAACTTTAAAAAACTTTTACCGTGTAAAATGACAAAAATAGCCAGAACTACGTTATTTCACCGAATCTAGGTTTTACTAGGTTTCTGAATTTTTTCGAATCGATCTAGACGAATAACTTAATGTGCTCGATTGCATCAGCAACAGTCCACACAAAATCTGATATAATTCTCTAAAGATCTGTTTCTATACAACGGTACTGGAACCACCTAACAGTCGAAACTAATATTAGAACCATGACCAGCACTATCAATTAGTTTCTGATAAGAAGTTAATGTTTTCCTTTTCAAACTAACACGTTCATAATACCAATATCTACTATGTGCTGATTTTCACAAGTTTACTATATAAACTGCCATTTCTTACTGTCTTTATAAAAGAACCAAAGATGCACAGAAACTCGCTATCTCCTTGCTCTTTGATAAACTTCAACTCTCTCTAAAAACTGACGCATTTTCGTCTGTTTATGGAATTTTGTTGGAGTTTAAACAACATTATTAACATTTACTTCTGCTGTCGAATCTTACCTCACATTGCACGCCTATATTTCCTGCGTAACATGCGCACACATAACCATTTATTTTGTCAATACATTGTCCTCTATGACACGGCTGAGAGAAACACTCGTTAATATTCGTTTCACAAAGATTACCCGTGAATCCCGGTAAACATAGACAGGTAAACCCTTGCGTAATTGTTAAATTTTCCAAACATGTTCCATTATTAACGCACGGATTTGGTGTATCGCATGGATTAATACGATTTTCACATCTTAAACCGTAATACCATGGTGGACATTTACAGCTAAATCGATCGGTTTCGTCGACGCATGTTCCAGAATTTAAACACTGATTTATAAAACAAAAATTGATGTTTGATTCACAACGCATACCAGTATACATTGATTTACACGAACATTGATATCTATTTATCTAAAAGAAACAACGGTTCGTATTACCACCGATTAGTTAATTTGAGTTGATGTTAGTCAGGTACGTGAGCCATTTTAATATATTTATTGTCAACTAGTAGGTCAATTACCACAAAAAAAGATGTTTCAATATGTTACAAGAGGTTTTTTATACCTTCGACTATATTTCTATAACTAAACAAGATTCAAACCAATCTTTCAAAAAAGCTTATCTATGTAGTGCCATAACTAAATTATAGTTTGACTTTTCCTTAATTTGCTCTACCAGTTGATCTGAAAAGTCCATCACTATTTATAATAGAGTTTTCATACGTTCTGAATAAAAAACCTGTTGACAGATGGGTAAATTCGATTTTGAACGCAATAAACAGTAATTTTCATTCAGCAGCATCGCCGTCAATAACCGGCTACCCAACCAAAAACACATAAAACGATTGAAGATGAGAGATTCACAACAAAATTTCATTATATGAGACAAATATGATTTTTGTGTAATGACGTCATGCTTTTATCATGATCTCTAGGTCGATACTGATATCGCGAAATATTTCTCATACACTTAGGCTTGGGCTGTGTGAAAGAATTTTGTCGATAATTTATCCAAACTATATTGGCTTATCAAACTACAACAATAGATGATTAAGAACTTTTTCTACTTTGACTCGGCAACATTCTTAATTACAAATAAACAACCTCCGCGAACAAACCTCAAGTAGAACCATCATGTATCTATACGTTACATTGATTTTTACTAGGAACGCTTTTCGCGCAAAATCTCGTTTTTGATAAAAAAAGCAGTTTATTATAGATAGTTTTTATGGCGATTACTGATCTGAAATGCGTTTTCACTGTTATACTTTTCTTGTACCTTCCAGTTACACTGCAGTTTCTAAAAACCCATTACGAATTTTCAAAGTATACATTTCCGAGACTGTCAGTTTTATACAGAATATCAAGCTACATATGGGCCCAAGTGATCAGCAACATTTCACAGTATTACAGAATTTGCACTGTATAAAATTGCCTAAAAAAAATTGCTTGTTAGTGCTGATCACTTGAGCCCATATGTAGCTTGATATTCTGTGTAAAACTGACAGTCTCGGAAATGTATACTTTGAAAATTCGTAATGGGTTTTTAGAAACTACAGTGTAACTGGAAGGTACAAGAAAAGTATAACAGTCAAAACGCATTTTAAAATTCGTAACTCAAGTATCTAAAAATGTTCCTTTGCTACTTCAATTTTTAAGATACATTATTGTGGATCATGCTCAACTATCTGTTAACTGGTTTATATACTAATTCCAGAACGGTAAATTTGTTCGATTTATGATCTATGACGTTTATATTTATCTTGTTCTAGAAAATATCTTTTTAGAACGAGAATCGGGAATTCGTTCATTGATTTTCATAGACATTTTATCACTCGAAACGTTGGTTTCAGCTTAATCGCACAATCTTTTCAAACTATATTTTTAAATAGAGATTTGCACTATCTTACCTGATCTTGGCATATACCGTTGTTTAAGCACGGGGAACTATCACATTCGTTTATGTTTTGTTGACAACGAGAACCTTGAAAACCTAGTGCACACGAGCAATTAAAACCAGATGCGTCACTAATACATGTCGAATTATGCATGCAAGGTGAAGATTCACAGGCATTCGACTCTTGTTCACATCTAGATCCCATAAAATTGTTTCTACAAGCACAACGATAGCCATTCATGAGATTAACACAGTAACCATCATGCATACAGGGACTACTCAAACAATGATTGATCACAGAGGAACACGTTGAATCCTATAAAACAAAACAAAAATGCATAATTGGGTCAAATAACAGCGTATCAGCGTGAAAGTGTATATTTGTTAGTGTAAAAATGATATTTCAATAGTTGCTTTAATAATTCACAATCGATGATCGAGAGTGAAATGATCAGAATAGTATCACTGTGTAATACTTATAGGCTGACGATATTTTAAAAAACTAATCTCATAATTTATAGAAAGATTCGCGTTTTTTAACGTTAACTCCTATAGAACAAAAACTAAGAGGTACCTGAGATAGTTCTAGGAAAAATCATCTACTTTTAATACCTTTACTACCAAACACCATTTCTCAAGTGTGATCTGGCGAAATGAAACTGCTGTTTTAAAACATACATATATCCTTTGAACTTCTAATCCACTTTTTTACAGGTATATATGAAAAACTCACTTACAGTATATCCCTCTGGACAATCACATCGATAACTATTTATTAACGGTCGGCATAGACCACCATTCAAACAAGGACTTGATAAGCACGTATTAATTTGATTTTCACAATAATAACCGATGAACCCTGAATGATGATTCTATGTATTAGTTGGTATGTTGAAAGATAATAGTAACGGTTTACCTGGATTACAAACACATGTAAAATTATTTATAGCATCAACACATCTTCCACCGTTCAGACACGGGTTTACTGGTTGACAATCATCACGATCTATTTCGCATATTGGTCCTGTATAAATCAAGAGCTCATGTTTTTTCAATATACTCTGTTTTCATTTTCGAGAAACTAACCTAAATATCCTTGTGCACAACGACAAATAAAACGATTAATCATTGAAACACACGTTCCATTATTCAAACATGGACTAGATTGACATCGGTCGATTATTGTTTCACAGCGGTCTCCCTTCACCCCGTTGACACAACTACATGTGAATCCTGTTGACGATGTTTGACATATTCCTCCATTCTGGCACGGCATAGACTCACAATAGTTGATGATTAGTTCACAATTGGTTCCCGTATATCCTTGAGGACACGTACAAATAACACCAGTTTGATTTACGCGACAAATTCCATTATTTAAACAAAATTGTTGACTTGAACATGAATCGCGTAACCTCTCACAATTTGTTCCATTATAAACACTTGGACAAACACATTGATATCGATTCTCAAAATCAACGCACGTTCCCCCATTGATACATGGCTGCGATTCACACTCATTTATTCCCAGTTCACAATACTGTCCTGTATAGCCTGCTTTACAGAGACACTGATAATTATTAGACGAATGAGAAATACACCTCTGTGAACCGTTGAGGAAACATGCATCGGGAGAACAGGCATCTTGAAGACGATCGCAGAATTGTCCAGTGTAACCAAGTTGACAGCAACATTGAAATGCATTTGTACCATTAATACACTGACCATAAAGACCACATGGATTGGGTTGACACACGTCAACTTTTGTATTACAATTATAACCTGTATAGCCAGAATTACACACACACGTATACGACAAGACATTGTTTGATCTCAAACAAGTACCATAAATACCTAATAATAAGAAAATTGTATCAGATCAATTATAATGGTCAAAACATGAAGAAGGTCTCATTTAGTCTGATTTCTCTTACATGGGGAACTAGCACATGGGTCAATTATATTTTGACAATAAGTCCCATTATATAAAGGTAGACAAATACAAATAAACCCTGGTGTTGAGTTGTATACTTCGCGACAGGTGCCTCCATTTAAGCATTGTTGATTTGCACATTGACTGACAACTACTTGACATACGGAACCTGTAAAACCACTTGGACAACGACAAAGAAAACTGTTTATTTGATCGATGCATGTTCCACCGTTGAGACACACATCTGATGTACAATCATCAATGTTAATCTAGAAACGAGACATCCGTTTAATTCGTAAGAAATCACATGGTTGAACTAAGATTTTGTTTTGATATTTAATCTGTACCACCGTAACACTACTTAAGTACAGATAATTACACAATGTTTAAAAAACTTACGCTACAATTCGTTCCAGTGAAACCTTGTGGACACAAACAAATCGGTGGCGTACTACCAGTGCTGATACAAAACCCTCCATTGTAACACACTTTTGTTACACATTGATCGATATTCGTATAGCAATTAGGACCAGTCAGTCCTGGCGGACAAAGACAAGTGAAATTTCCTATTCCGTCGATACATGTTGCGTTCGGATGACAAACAAGCAATAAACACTCGTTAATATTTACTTCACAATTTACACCGGTCCAACCAACAGCACAAATACAAGCATAAGAAACTACTGTCTCCATACATTGTCCTAAAATTACAAATTTCACCGTAATACTCTACAGCATGAATTTATCTTTTCGTTGATTGCCTATCAGAATCGTCTACTCTTTAGTACCTCCATTCTGGCATAGATTAACGGCACAATGTACTATTGGAAGTTCACAATTGTTTCCTGTAAATCCCACTAAACAGCTACAACGATAACTATTAACACCATCGACACAAACTCCTGCGTTCTGACATGGCATTGATTCACATTCGTTAATACCGTCTTTACATTGTACACCCGTCCATCCAGGATCACAAACACATGACCAACCAGCAAGACTTTCGTAACATGAACCAAAGGCACATGGTTGACTGGAACAAGGGCTAATGGCTATCTCACAACGTGACCCTTTAAGTAAATTATTTATCTTAGGTAACTTTCAACAGAACAATTGTATGAGAGAAACAAACCTGTATATTGGGCTGCACAAGTACATGTATAACCTACTGTACCATTTAGACTTAATGAAGACACTGTTATTAGACACGATATCGAGTTGAATGCTACACATGGATTACTATGAAAAACAAATACACAACATCGACTATTTAAAGGGGGTTGTATTAACTTACCTAATGCAAGGACTAATAGGTATGTCACAATAGCTTCCTTCGTATGTTGACGTACAAAGACATTGACTACTTCCATTCGTGCTTGCACAAATACCACCATTACGGCAAGAAGTGACTCCAGACGGAGCGCAATCATTTAAGCTCGGTAAACAGGTCTTACCTCAAAAGCCAACAAAAAATGTTTTAGGTTGTCGAAAAGTCAGAATCCTTAGGCTCACCTCGAAAACCCGGACGACAATTGCACACATAAGATGAGCCACTATTTGTACAATTATACGTGTTGGCTGCGATACATGGTGATGACAGACAGGGATTTAGCATGATTGAACAATCGGGTCCCGTATAACTTGGTAAACATGAACATATTGGACCCAATGCAGAATTTGCACATATGCCGTTATTTTTACAATAGTCGATTTGACTAGAACAATAATCAATTGTTTGATCACAATATCGACCAGTTGTGCCTTTGAACATGGAAATGAACGTTTTTTCAATAAATCTAGAATATCAAAGAAGGGGATCACAGACAATCCCATTCCTCTTGTGAGATGAAATGTTCTCATATTGTTGGCTCAGTGTTGATTTTATCCGTTGAAGCATAATAATCTATTCTTCAGAAATCAGTTATGACTTTTAGTCTAAAAATTTAGATATTTTAAGATCACGGGCACTCTAAACGGTAGTATCACGTATTTATTTATGTAAAAGATGATTAAGGTGCACGCAAAGCAAAATTTTAGCAAAAATTTTTTTCGATAAAAGACACATATTGGGATTTGCCAGAGCATGCTGATCACGAATATGACCTTGAAAGTTGAAAAAAACCTTTTTTTCGGGGAGAAAAATGCAAAATACTGAAAAGGTCCAAAAACTTCTCGATCAGAACTGAACTTTTGAGCAATAAAAATATCATTTTCGGAATCAGAATCAAAAACTGAGTCGATTGATATGTATTTCGTAAGTTTTAATTGATTTTCAATTTTGAGT